GATCTTGAACCTCTCGGACTGTGGTATGCGGGGGGGGGGGGCGCCGCGGATGAGAGAGGGGGGGGGGGGTCTTGGTTTAGCAAAAGCTAGAGGTGCGGGGGGGCGAAAGGGGGACGAACAGACTGTCGAGCCCTCAAGAAATGAAAAAAAACAAGAAAAAAAGAACTAAAAGAACGGAAAAAAAAAAAGAACGAGATACGACATGCTGCAGTAAGGTGCATCATCGCCGAATCGCCGATGCACGTAGGACTGACTGCCTCAGAGCTCCGTCATTTGCACACACACCAAAAACTAGAGATTGTTAGTGAAGCGGATTTCGTGTTTCGTATGCATAGAAACGCAGAGGCCTGTCTAGTCGGCGGTAACGTCATGTGTGCCAAACAATCCACGCAGGAGGTCTGGTCATGTTCACTAAACTTGTAAAGTGTTTTGGAGGTGCGGCTACGCACGGCCGGAAAATGGCAAAAGGGAAGCGGACACGAAAAGTTGAGGCAGAGCAGCAAAGGACAGACTAGCGCGCAGAAACAAAAAATATATCGGTGGGGCGTCATATGGACCGGCAAATCCCGTTGCAATGGACCACTACAGTAGTCTTGAGTATTTTATTGTGGGTGGGAAACAAGAAGCAAGATATCATCGGTCAAAATGTAGACGATTCATGACCGGCGTAGTGCAGGCAAAGGGAGAGTCCCTGACAGGTTCCTGTCGCCTGATGCTCCTCGTCATTGCTGCTGCAGATGCTGCCGCTGCTACTGCCGCGGTCGCCTCTCTCACACGAGCGTAACACTAAAAACACACACACACAATATATATATATATACGCATACACAACCATCCTTGAGAGAGGCTAACGGACACGAAATCCACCGCCGTAACCGGAAGGAGGAGGGTGGGCAAAATCATCGCCGCACCGCGCACAGCAAGGCACTATTATAAGATACCAAGACACTACTACAAGACAGCAAGGCGCTATCATAAGACACCAAGACAGCAAGCAGCACAACAAACAGCAAGGAGGGACTTGCTGCGACGGCAGAAGCTCTCTCTCTCTCTCTCTCTCTCTCTCTCTCGCTCTTTTCTCACCGGCGAAACGTTCGGGTACGGCGGAAAATCGCGACAGATAGGCCTCGGGCCCGACCCCGGAACTCCCTGGCAGCTCCGGCACTCGTCGTTTCCCTCGGCGTCACCCTGGGGAAATGTTAAATGTCAAAAGGGGGGGGGGGGGACAGGGTGTGTGTCGGAAACATAGAAGGCGATAAAGCGCAAAAAAAAAGGACGGAAAGCAAGGTGTGTCTGGGAAATACAGAGGAACATACCATGCCTTCCTCATGCCTTCCTCCTGCCACACATGCTTGCGGTACGATGCATGCTGACATCAGTTCCTTCTCGGGCTTCTCTTTAATTTTTGTGCGCTAGTTGGGACCCTATCCAGAGGTAAACATGCAGTACGGACTTGTCCTAAATACCACTGCGAGACGGAGACAGAAGCAACGTCAAAAACCGCAACAAAGGAGCGGGATCGAAGAAGTTGAGGTTCTGGATAACTCGGTGTTCGTGTGCGGAAATAGTTCGCAGGAACGAAAAAGAAGCAGGTTTCAACGATGCCCAGTCCTGCCGTGTCTTGGAGACGTGGACGTTGAAGGATCGCCTACGAACACCGTCGTTAACGTTAAGCCATACAGGCACAGAGGCCCCTTGCAAGGGGAAATCACTGACCACCATGACAAGAAAGAGAAGACAACAAGGGCAGCAGCAGCAGCAGCAGCAGCAGCAGCAGCAGCAGTAGCAGCAGCCGCGCAAGTGTAGCCACCCACGACAGCGAGGTAAGGAGGCAGACTCAAGGTACAGCAACACCACATGTAAGAAGCACGGAAAGCTCTTGTCTTGTCATCACCGCCTTTTGTTTTTTTTCCTCGACGAGGAAACCAACCAAGAATGCATAGGTACAAATATTGTCCAAGTTCTCACCTTTCAAGACCAACAATAAACTCATAATTCCCTGTCCATAAAATACCAGCACAATTCCCTGCCTAACATTCTTCGCAACTACCACCTCTCGAAAAAAAACACAAATCGGTCCCAAAAGATTAAGACAACAACAACAAAAAAAGACAACCATCAAGCCGTCACGTCGTGCTATGTATGCACCACTGCTGTCCAGCAACCTACATACCTCGCCAGGGTAGCCATCTGAGGGGCCCCGATAGTACGGCTCCAGGCCACGGCTGAGGTTCGCGTGGAAGCGCAGCCTCTCCATCTGTACAGAACACACAAGAGAGGAGGGCGCAGATTGGGAGCGTGTCGGGGTTGGGGTGGCGGAGGTTGACGTCGTTTCTACGCATCATACGTGGCCGCTCAAGGTGTATGTAGTACAGCAGTGACTGACTTTACAGTTGCTCTACGATCCTAGCCCCACGTTGCGCCCGTAAATAGCAAAAAAGTCTGGAGCGGAGCACAAACAAGGCTACTGCTGTAACGCAAAGTAGCGGGCGTAGGCATCATACCCTCGGTCCACTGCATTACTGCTGTTGGTCCAGTGTTCGGTCGGAAAACGACGTCTTCCTTCGCGTACACAGCGTGCCAACCCCCACGCTCAGGGGTTTGGAACCGAACAAGTCTTCTTGCACTCTTTGCACTAATAATATTACGACCAGCACGTCAGGCGTGAAAATAGTAAATAGTCATGCACCGGGTCGTTCCCGCCAAAACACATCAGCAATCGGTGAGGAGGTTGTTGTTGTTGTTGTTGTTGTTGTTGTTGTTGTTGTTGTTGTTGTCTGGAAGACCGTTCCGGTCTCCTCCTCTCAGCACCTTCTAGCATCGGCAATGGCTCCAGCTGAGGCGGTCAAAGGTGCATAGACCAAGGACGCCTTCCGTGGTCAAGACCAAGTACCCCCCGGGAAGGGGTACAGTACCCCCCAGGAAGGGTACAGTACGCCTCTCTAGACGGAAAAGAACAAAAAAAAAAAGGTCCAATGTGGGCTCCCTCCTGGGTGACCTCCCACAGAACTGGTGCGACCAGAAAACGTGTGGTGCCGAAAGGCGTCAAAACGTCAACTCACGTACGTCCAGCGTAAACGGGAATGGCAGCACACACACAGGGCAACCCCTTTTTCGTCTTCAGAAAACGGAACCGTCAACAAGCGGCACACCTCAACTATCCTGCTGCCCTCTCTCCCCCCCCCCCCTTTCCAAACGTTCACTCACACATACACACGCTCACGGGGTCCCAGATCATGGCCACTACAAGCTCCTTCTCTTTCCGGCCGCACTCAGACTGACGTTCTTTCACTGACGTTCTTTCACTGACGTTCTTTCACTGACGTTCTTTCACTGGCCAACCGGGTAGCGCGGTCGATGCTACAGTAAACACACACGCACACGCTTTCTTCTTACCTGCTGGCACTGAAGCATTTTCATTGGTCAGCCGGTTAGCGCGGTCGGTGCTAACAACAAAGACAAAACAAACAAACACAACGCAGTCACTCACGGGGCCCTAGATCACGGCCTACACGAAACCCGTTCTCTTTTCCGGCCGAACTGAGACCGGCGTTCTTTCACTGGCCGGCCGGCTCCTGCTGTGGCGCGCGGTCGATGCAAAATAGCATAGACACACACACACACACACACAAAAAAAAAAAAACGTTATTTGAGACAGACGTACTCTATTGGCCAACAGCCGGTTAGCGCGCGGTCGATGCTAACAAGAAGGGATACATGCACACGCACAACACGCTTGACTCACCGGCGAGCAGTTGGGGTAGGGGGCGAGGTCCCGACAGTTTATCGGTCTTCGCGTGGGTCCTACGACGGACTGGCAGCTCCTGCACTCACCCCCCCCGTCGCCGCATTCCTGATGGGGATGAAAAAAAAAAAAAAAAAACAGTTGGGGGTCGCGATGTTTTCTGGGCGAACTACTTGTATTTGTAGCGAGAGACGGCCAAGCGACGTTTTTTGCAACCCTTGTGGGTTTGGCAGGGGAGTCACCATCCGAGACTCGTGCTCGAAACAAGGTGCACGATTCCAAAGCCAATAGAAACAATGAACATCCTCCCGGGGCTCCTCGCGCGGCGACACTGCCGCTGCTGCTGCTGCCAGGTATTCCTTCAGTTCTGCCTTCCTTAATTTCTTCATTCAATGGCATGACATGACATGACATGACATGACGTGTATATGTACCCACTCCTACCGACACGCCCAAACCACTCGGCGTTCATTTTTTTCAGTGTGTATCCGCGTGGTCGTCCACGATCACTGCATCACTATAATGCATGATAACACCGCCAAGAACAAAACGTGGATACAACAACAACGGGGATGGCCAATAGAAAGAAATACTTCACGTGCAACAATAATAACATTACGACAACGTCAACAAAAAAAGAAACGACTCTTTTAACACTTCAAACAAGAACGCGACAAACGTACAACATTACAATGAACACCCGCAAGAAAAAAACAAAAAAAAGCATTTGCACATATCGTCCGAAGCATTGGCGCGGTTTTTGAGAGTCTCAGCAGCAGCAACAGCAACAGCAACAGCAGCAGTAACTATAACAGCAGCAACAGCAGCAGCAGCAATCGCACATACCTCTTGTTCTGCGATGACACGGTCGGCCTCGGCCTCAGTGGCGAAGTTGGTCATGGACTTGTCGGGGAAGTGGAATCGCGCGGCACGGTCGTGGGCCTTGGCAGCCTCCAGCTCGGACTCGTACACGCCCAGGTACAGCTGACCACGTTCACGGTACGGTAGGGTACGGTAAGGTACGGTAAAGGAAAGGTACGGTAACGGTACCGTTGCGGTACGGTATACGGTGCGTGCAGGGCACAAGGCGGCACAGAAACAACAACGTCTTACATAGTTAGGAAAGGCTAACGTGCAAAACCATTATTTACTCCGACCATGTGACCTGCTGCATCACGAGCATTTTAGCTACCGCCGAATCGGTAACAAGGAGGTGAAAATGCGGGGGCATCATGCTTACGGAAACACTACCCCTGCGATCGTGTGTGTGTGTGTGTGTGTGTGTGCATGTGCATGTGCATGTGTGTGTTTCTTTAATTCGCATTGACCGCGATACCCGGCTAACTAATGGGGAAGACGTCAGTCTAAAAGCGGGGTAAACGACGCAAACATGATCAAGTCGAGTGCTTTTGCGGCCGCGACAAACCACCAAAAACTCCCCCATTTCCTTCTGAACTCGGGAGCAAGCAGCACGACTTCGATCCGGCGACCCGTCTGTCAGACGCTGTCCCATGAGCTGGATGGGACCAATCCCTCGCAAAACAGGAAAAACCCTCAAAAGAGCGTAAGAGCACACGGCCAAATGAGGCACAATTAGCATGTCACACTGCATGCGCGTATTTTACATCAGGGGTGCTGTCACGCCCACACACACACACACATCCCCTCCCCCCACACAGAATTCAGCCAACTGCAGCAGTGAGAGGCACATTGGTCCCCTCGCACCTATTCCTTCTTCCTTCCATACCAAAACAACAAAAAGAAGCTAAGCCAAGCTAGTATGTTGTATGTTGTACCGCTGCTAATGCCGCCTGTCTTCCCTCGAGAACACACGTAGCATGAGGCGTTGGTCTGTGTTTTCGTCCCAACTACATATCCGGGCCGCCAACCTCAACCTAGAGACGCACTTCATTGTCTACAAAAAAGAAGGACACAAAATCAACTCACAACAGCGGACGCACATACACACGCGCGTTACGTACCCAGGAAGCCTCTATTTTCATGGGCGTTTAGTTTAGGGCTGGCAGAGGGTGGTGCCGGCTGAAAAAAAATTGGTGTTGAACTACGCCAACAGAAAGGAAAAGCCAACAGTAAGAGAGGTTTCGACGAATTACCGTATCGTACGATGGTTGTAGCTTTAAATTGGCCACCATTTCGCCGCGTGACAGCCTCATACCGTTGCTGATAATGGTCTTTTTCCAACTGCTACATACAACATTTCAAGCACGCCTCTCTTCCTGCTCAAACGCATCAGTGCCAGGGACGGGAGGGGATTCGGCGTGCGTGGGTCACCGAGACAACAACGCGCACGCAAAGCAGCATATCCCCATCTCCTCAAACAAAGCAATCCAACACACCCACGCAGCACACCTGTTTGCGCTCCTTGTATATCACGGCCCGCCACTTCCCCTCCCTCGTCACGCAAACGCCCCGGTAGATCGAACGCCCCTTGCGCCCCCGCCGCCGGCGCGGCGTTACCGGTGCCTCCAGGGACTCGTCCCCCCCCGCTCTCCCCCCGCCCTCTTCCCCCCTCTGCCGCTGCCGCT